TTTGATGCCACTATAGAGCGGGGTTGACGACACGCAATCCAGAGCAATAAGCAGCCGAAGGTTTTCAGTCAAAAAATGTAATTTATTAACAAAAAAGGTATTGACTTAAATAGTCTCAAAATAACAAATCTAACTAATAATTTCGGCGATATACTTTCCTATATAAACTATACTTTGCAGTCCAATTTGCAACACTAATTTAGTTTACCATTTGCGGTCGAAAAACTGTTCCGCTCCCCGTCTCATCAGGTCTCAGAGCACCGCGGCTGTCCTCAATTACCTCACTTAAATAAACACCGGAAGGTACAAGGAAACAGATCATATTTACGATTTAAAATAAACAATCATTTCATCAAAAGATATTCACCATGGCAATATAAATCATTTTACATCATTAATTCATTTATCAAATTATGAATCTAAATAATAACTTTGACTTCATTGTGGCTCTAACAAATGTTGTCTCCTTTTTTCAGGGTCCGCCTCCTCCTGTCCTCATCCTCAAAGAAGAAGAAACCTGCCGCCCAGGTGACATCATTCACATGTCCTGACCAATCAGAGCACTCTGTTTCACATAGTCAATAAACACACAGATAATAACAAAACCAATACATTACACAGGGGGCAATCACTATATGATTACTACCACATTACACAGGGGTCAATCACTGTATGATTACTACCACATTACACAGGGGCAATCACTGTATGATTACTACCACATTACACAGGGGGCGATCACTGTATGATTACTACTACATTACACAGGGGGCAATCACTGTATGATTACTACCACATTACACAGGGGCAATCACTGTATGATTACTACCACATTACACAGGGGCAATCACTGTATGATTACTACCACATTACACAGGGGCAATCACTGTATGATTACTACCACATTACACAGGGGCAATCACTGTATGATTACTACCACATTACACAGGGGGCAATCACTGTATGATTACTACCACATTACACAGGGGGCAATCACTGTATGATTACTACCACATTACACAGGGGCAATCACTGTATGATTACTACCACATTACACAGGGGCAATCACTGTATGATTACTACCACATTACACAGGGGGCAATCACTGTATGATACTACCACATTACACAGGGGGCAATCACTGTATGATTACTACCACATTACACAGGGGGCAATCACTGTATGATTACTACCACATTACACAGGGGGCAATCACTGTATGATTACTACCACATTACACAGGGGGCAATCACTGTATGATTACTACCACATTACACAGGGGGCAATCACTGTATGATTACTACCACATTACACAGGGGCAATCACTGTATGATTACTACCACATTACACAGGGGCAATCACTGTATGATACTACCACATTACACAGGGGGCAATCACTGTATGATACTACCACATTACACAGGGGGCAATCACTGTATGATTACTACCACATTACACAGGGGGCAATCACTGTATGATTATTACCACATTACACAGGGGCAATCACTGTATGATTACTACCACATTACACAGGGGGCAATCACTGTATGATTACTACCACATTACCAGGGGGCAATCACTGTATGATTACTACCACATTACACAGGGGGCAATCACTGTATGATTACTACCACATTACACAGGGGGCAATCACTGTATGATTACTACCACATTACACAGGGGGCAATCACTGTATGATTACTACCACATTACACAGGGGCAATCACTGTATGATTACTACCACATTACACAGGGGGCAATCACTGTATGATTACTACCACATTACACAGGGGGCAATCACTGTATGATTACTACCACATTACACAGGGGGCAATCACTGTATGATTACTACCACATTACACAGGGGGCAATCACTGTATGATTACTACCACATTACACAGGGGGCAATCACTGTATGATTACTACCACATTACACAGGGGGCAATCACTGTATGATTACTACCACATTACACAGGGGGCAATCACTGTATGATTACTACCACATTACACAGGGGCAATCACTGTATGATTACTACCACATACACAGGGGGCAATCACTGTATGATTACTACCACATTACACAGGGGGCAATCACTGTATGATACTACCACATTACACAGGGGGCAATCACTGTATGATTACTACCACATTACACAGGGGCAATCACTGTATGATTACTACCACATTACACAGGGGCAATCACTGTATGATTACTACCACATTACACAGGGGCAATCACTGTATGATTACTACCACATTACACAGGGGGCAATCACTGTATGATTACTACCACATTACACAGAGGGCGATCACAGTGCTTTAGTTTGCTAATTGTTTTTCTCAGGCAGAGAACGCTGTCACCATGACAACAGATGCATCACCTGAGGCCTCCTGCCCCCCCGCTGCCCCCCCGTCTGTAGACCAGGACCAGCAGGAGGAGGGAGAGGAGGTGGAGGAAGAGGAGGAAGAGGAGGAGCAGGAGGTGCAGGACGTGGAGGAGGAAGAGTGTGTCAGCGCTCTGCAGCTCGTAGGAGGTCCGGCTTTCAGTTTGAAACTAGATTGAGTTATTCTTTTTGATTTCAATATGTTTCCCTGCAGGGTGTGAAGAGATAGATATGTTACAGACATTATAGTTGTTAGGGTTAGGGTTAAACCTGAACCTGAACCTGAACCTGAACCTGAACCTGAACCTGAACCTGAACCTGATCCTGATCCTGTTTTCAGATTACGGCTGTGAGGAGGACGAGATGAGTTTCGACCTGCAGTGATGGAGGTCACCTGACCCTCACCTGGAGTGACGGAGGTCACCTGACCCTCACCTGGAGTGATGGAGGTCACCTGACCCTCACCTGGAGTGACGGAGGTCACCTGACCCTCACCTGACCTGATGGAGGTCACCTGACCCTCACCTGGAGTGATGGAGGTCACCTGACCCTCACCTGGAGTGATGGAGGTCACCTGACCCTCACCTGACCTGATGGAGGTCACCTGACCCTCACCTGGAGTGATGGAGGTCACCTGACCCTCACCTGGAGTGACGGAGGTCACCTGACCCTCACCTGACCTGATGGAGGTCACCTGACCCTCACCTGGAGTGATGGAGGTCACCTGACCCTCACCTGGAGTGATGGAGGTCACCTGACCCTCACCTGACCTGATGGAGGTCACCTGACCCTCACCTGGAGTTGTTTATATTGTACAAAGGCTGTAGCTCGAGACGCGTCTGTATTTTTATATGAATGTTAATATGACATCATTCCCTCCTGAAGCAGCTTCCTGCGGTTTCAACCGTTTTACTGTTTTTTACGTGTACTTTGTGTATTTTGTGTACTTTATGTACTTTGTGTACTATGTGTACTTTATGTACTTTATGTACTTTGTGTACTTTGTGTAGTGACCACGATATCCATTGTTTCGTGTCCTTTGTGATTCTCTCGTGGGGCTGACCGGCGAATAGACGCTTGTAGTTTGAGAGAACATATAAATGTCCAGATGAGATTGAAAAGTAAGATCGTTTATTCCAAAAAAGGCAAAAATAAATAAAAGTTTTAAACAAACTATTTGTCAAATAAACTGATATTTCAATGTTAAAGGCACAAGAAGCAAGCTGTGACGCTCCCAACCAGCAAGGTGGATCTCCATCATCAGGGAGTCCACAGAGAGAACCCAATAGCCGCGTTCACACCAAGTACTTTCCTGTACTTAGTTCCGGCACTCAGTGCCCCGGCGCTTTTTACCCCAGGGCACTTAGTACAGATCGCGTTCACACCGGAGTACTTTTCCCTGAGGGAAGATTACGCAAATGAGCCGCTGACGTCACTTCTTCTTCTTCTGCTTTGGCTTTACTGGCAGGCCACAAACCACTTCATGGCGAGTACAGTAGGTGGCGGTATGCACCTTAAAGTTGTTTGCAATCCGCTACAAAACAAGAGAAGAAGAAGAAAAAGTTCCCTTGTATACTGCGACGCCCACCCACTCGCTGTACATTAGGCGTCTGTTGTTTCCGACCTCAGACATGATGGAGATGGAGTCGACTGAAGTTGTGCTGTTTGTGCTCATGTTATACAGCTTTGTAACTGAGTTCATGCAGCCTGAGCAACTTGCGTACAATAACAAGCCGAGCACGAGTGGGTGGTGGAGAACGCTTTTGGCAGACTGAAGGGCAGGTGGCGGTGCTTGATGAAAAGAAACGACTGCAAGATGGACAAGATCAAAATCCAGGTGGCAGCATGTTGCATATTACATAACCTTTGTGAAAGTAATGAGTACAGGGACGAATGGACTGCCTTACCGGCGACCCCAGCTTTATGAGGCATCTGAACAGCTCTTATGAGGCATCTGAACAGCTCTTATGAGGCATCTGAACAGCTCTTATGAGGCATCTGAACAGCTCTTATGAGGCATCTGAACAGCTCTTATGAGGCATCTGAACAGCTCTTATGAGGCATCTGAAACAGCCCCTCATCCTAGGCATCTGAACAGCCTTATGAGGCATCTGAACAGCTCTTATGAGGCATCTGAACAGCCTCATGAGGCATCTGAACAGCCCTCATGAGGCATCTGAACAGCTCTTATGAGGCATCTGAACAGCCCTCATGAGGCATCTGAACAGCCTTATGAGGCATCTGAACAGCTCTTATGAGGCATCTGAACAGCCCTCATGAGGCATCTGAACAGCTCTCAGGCATCTGAACAGCCCTTATGAGGCATCTGAACAGCTCTTATGAGGCATCTGAACAGCCTCATGAGGCATCTGAACAGCCCTTATGAGGCATCTGAACAGCCTTATGAGGCATCTGAACAGCTCATGAGGCATCTGAACAGCTCATGAGGCATCTGAACAGCCCTCATGAGGCATCTGAACAGCCCTTATGAGGCATCTGAACAGCTCCTCATGAGGCATCTGAACAGCCCTTATGAGGCATCTGAACAGCTCTTATGAGGCATCTGAACAGCCTCATGAGGCATCTGAACAGCCCTTATGAGGCATCTGAACAGCTCTTATGAGGCATCTGAACAGCTCTTATGAGGCATCTGAACAGCCCTTATGAGGCATCTGAACAGCCCTCATGAGGCATCTGAACAGCTCTTATGAGGCATCTGAACAGCTCTCATGAGGCATCTGAACAGCTCTCATGAGGCATCTGAACAGCCCTTATGAGGCATCTGAACAGCCCTTATGAGGCATCTGAACAGCTCTCATGAGGCATCTGAACAGCTCTTATGAGGCATCTGAACAGCTCTTATGAGGCATCTGAACAGCTCTCATGAGGCATCTGAACAGCCCTCATGAGGCATCTGAACAGCCCTTATGAGGCATCTGAACAGCTCTCATGAGGCATCTGAACAGCCTCTCATGAGGCATCTGAACAGCCCTCTATGAGGCATCTGAACAGCTCTTATGAGGCATCTGAACAGCTCTTATGAGGCATCTGAACAGCTCTTATGAGGCATCTGAACAGCTCTTATGAGGCATCTGAACAGCTCTTATGAGGCATCTGAACAGCTCTCATGAGGCATCTGAACAGCTCTCATGAGGCATCTGAACAGCCCTCATGAGGCATCTGAACAGCTCTTATGAGGCATCTGAACAGCCCTCATGAGGCATCTGAACAGCCCTCATGAGGCATCTGAACAGCTCTTATGAGGCATCTGAACAGCTCTTATGAGGCATCTGAACAGCCCTCATGAGGCATCTGAACAGCTCTTATGAGGCATCTGAACAGCTCTCATGAGGCATCTGAACAGCCCTTATGAGGCATCTGAACAGCTCTTATGAGGCATCTGAACAGCCCTCATGAGGCATCTGAACAGCGTGTACATTGTAAACATTTTGACAATAAAGATGATCTTTTGTACAGTGCTTTTGTTTCTCTTTTATTTTCCAGTCAAGACAGGCAACATTACAATAGTGTACAGTGTGGCAATATAATAACAATAAACTGTGCCAGGTGTGTTGTATGCACAGTAAATAGGCTCAGCAGCAAACCCACCGTTATTATTTATCTTCCTGAGACCCACTGCATCCGTCTGCCATAAACATACATGTTAGTTTCGGCCCATAGTGGACTCCATTTTGTGTTGTGTAAAATGGGGGGGGGGATTAAAAGTTAGCAAATCCCCATGTCCTCCTCAGAGGACAATCATAAAAACATTTAGTTTTAGGTCAAATAATATTTAAAATGATATAAATGATCATATTTGTGTATGTGCCCCTGCCATTCCTCCACAAGGTTGCAACATTGATGATAAATAAATGACAAAGCTTTGCCAGTTTATAACCGATGAAACATGATGGTATCAGAATAATCACTTACATGTGATGTATAGGATGCTACGGTCACTAAAGATAAAGTGTCAGGAGAAATAAGCAAGATACAGGATCTGTTTAACAGTAAATAGAAGTTCACATTTTTAATGTAAATAAAATAGAAGTTGTACATGTAAATTAACATTATCAATATAAAATAAAGTGTCAGTTGTATCAAGACTATATAATAACAGTAATAACAATAATATAAAATGAACTGGTGAGCATCTTGTCCTCCGTTTCCTGGGCCTTGGTGAACAGCACCATCTGATCCCCGTGCATCGACTCTTTCACCACGGCACGCCGGTCCTCCAACGCCTGGGCGGTGTCAAAGAAATTCGCATCCCGTGTCCGCTTTCCTAAGAGGGGAAAATAAGCAGGATACAAGATCTGTTTAGTCGCCATGTAGTTTTACAACATACTAGGAATGTGTTTTTGGTATTTTCACAAATAGAATTAAGGTTTCACAAATCTGAAACTGTGTTATAAAGAATGTTTGGCCTCTCTGGGATAATCCAGTCCAGATAAATCGGCTATGCAGCGATTTAAGAGGTTCAAACACGGAGGATTGTTCCTTTTTGAAGAGTGCTTCATGTATGCTTGAACTTTGTTTAATGTTGTTGAGGCAAGTTTTCGTACCGGAAGTCATGTGACCTCTAGCCCGGATGTTTACAATGTTTGTGAGAGACATTTGTAAATGCCGGTCTAGGCGAATACGTTTTCACGCTGTTTCATAATTGTACCAAGAAGGAAATAAACATGATTGTGAACATCAGTTCGATGCGTAACGTTCTTTCAAGACAAAGTTACAGTGTGTGTACCTTTGCGTTTGGTTGCTGGTAAGGGGGACGAGCAAGCGCTGTGATCTAGAAGGCAAAGCTCGCTTGTTTCCAATCCCGAGAGTTGTCCATCCTCGCCTGAAACAGACGATTAGTGCCATGAGTTAGTGAAGCAAATTACAGAAACACTGCACAGTTATTCACAAGTCAAAACGTTTTCATCGCGGCCGAGAATATCTAGCTAGCTAGATGTAGCTAGCTCGGGGCCGGTGTTAGCCTATTCAGCCTAGCATGGCTAGCTTGATCTACTGAGCAAATAAAAGTACATCTGAGACCATTATTGTGCAGATTAAAACCCCAGTGCATGTAGTTGATTTTACCTTCGTCGTGGTCGTCATCGTTGGCCACTAAATCCGCCGTTTGTAGTCCTGCCCGAGTTTCTTTATTTTTATCCGGTGTGCCGTGGGGCTGTGCACGATTCCCAGGTCGAGTGAAAGCTACTGAACTGGCTTCAGTGCATTCCCTGGGTCGCGTCCTCGGCGTAGAGAACCCAACGCTCCGTCGGTGCGTTGGGTTTTTGTAGCGAGGAAAAACAATGGCGTCTCCACACAACATTTTCACAGTTGTACGGGGCGTGGTTTGCAATTCGCCCAGCCAATCAGCACTGGGGCACTTTTGGGGCACTTTTCACCCACAGGAAAGTACGCTCTCTCAGCCGGCTCTAAAAATGGGGGTAAAAGTTCCCGAGATTAAGTACGATTTTTGGTGTGAACGCGACATAAGGGGTACTAACGGAACTAAACGCGAAAAGTACGGTGAAATGCGGCTAATGGCACTATGTGAACACAAGGATCAATCCTGCTGATGCCGCCTCTAGAGGACAAAAGGCCGACACATGGAGAACAGGACATGGATCCAGAAATGCTCTGGAAGTCAGAAAAGGACTACCCGCTGGTTCCCCTGGAATCCATCTCTCTCTCCTGCGATGATGTAGTGGTCAAAAGAAATGCTATTGTCAACACAGTTATGGTCACAGAAAGTCCTGCAGGCAAGCTACTCATGCATTTCTCCAGCTGGAGAAAACTACAAGTTGCAGTAGCATGGATCCTGAAGTTCAAAGAAAGCTTGAAACGGCTCGTTCAAAGGAGAAAAGAGCTTATTTCCACTTTAAATGACTCCAACACCGATGCTCAAAACAAAAGCAATGTTGAGCAGAAAATAGAAAGCATGAAGGCCACACTGTGGACAGACCAGTACAGTGTTCTCCAGAGGACATGACAGCACACGCCTGAGGAGGACGCAGGACGCCTGAGGAGGACGCAGGACGCCTGAGGAGGACGCCTGAGGAGGACGCCTGAGGAGGACGCAGGACGCCTGAGGAGGACGCCTCAGGAGGACGCAGGACGCCTGAGGAGGACGCAGGACGCCTGAGGAAGACGCCTGAGGAGGACGCAGGACGCCTGAGGAG